AATAACATAATGCTTATATAGCTTTGTGTTAAATTTACCACTACTATGCTAAAATAATCTCATAAAAAAAGGCAACATTTCGTAATAAAAACACAAAATATAGAAAAAGATGTACAAATAAAGACGGTTCAGAAATATGGATCTGTTGCAACAAATCTTGTGGTGTATCAATGGTTTTATTCAATGGTATTACAAAACGATATCCACAACAACATTTACATAACGAACTTCAACATACAACTAAAGTTAACGCTGTATTAGAAAAAAAAGTACATGGAAACAACCACCGATTTATTAAAACCAGTGACAGAAATTTATCGACAACACTTAATTCTATCTGTATATTTTTATTTACTCCAAATTCTATTTTTTTTAAATATAATGTTTTTTGTGTCAGAAAAGAAAAAAAGATACAGCTGAAGATATTCCTGCTTTCAATTATATAAGATCAACAGTTTATCATCGTCGTTCATCTGTTCTACTACCAGTTCCGAAAAGCTTAGAAGATATCATTATACCGATCATCATAGAAATTTTATATCTGACATGATCATACAATAATATAAAATATATGAATATATACAATTATGCTACAAAGAAAGTAAAAGTCAATCATTACTATTTTATAATATTGGAGGTTTCTTTCGAGTTTGTGAACAATTACAATGTCACCATAAATTGAATCATACTTGTATAATAATTGACACTGTAACATAGAAATATCAAAGTAAGTGTAAAGATTCTGACTGTCGACACTTCAAACCATCATGGAAAAGTATTCCTTATCTATCGTAAGAACGAAAATAATAAATTATCATCTTCTATTATATTGATATACTTGAGAAGTATTTCTTATGTCAATATTTCAGACTTACCCTGTAATTGATAACAATATACAAAAACAATTCTGTTATCAATTGTTCAATCAACTGACTATTGCTTCATTAAATACATTTATTTTATTTTATTTTTCCTATTAAATTTTGTGTTTTTATTACGAAATGTTGCCTTTTTTTATGAGATTATTTTAGCATAGTAGTGGTAAATTTAACACAAAGCTATATAAGCATTATGTTATTAACAGTTCCACCATAATTGCTCTATTAAAGCAGGAAATTCATGTAAAAGTAATATGATTAATACATCTTTTGAAATATGGAGTCTTTCAAAAGTAAACGTCGAAAATATGATATTGAAGCAGTTAAGGAACTTCTTGAAAAAAAATATTGAATTAGCTTCTCATATTTATGTTGATATTTAAAAATGCATTCATCCAGTTGTACCACAATGGCTTCGTAATTATGACGACCTAACTCGTGGACAATCACTTAACCATTACTATGCATTGATGTCCACCATAGCACATCTTTCTATCGAGAGTACGGTAATGCAATGGAATCGTATTCCTCGTTTTCTTATTTTTTATTCAATAATTCTTGGATACTCTGGTAAATATCTTTTTATTATCTACATTTATATCATGTTTTCCTTCGTTAGGTATAACAAAAAGTGGTTCTGTACGTGAATATCGAGAAGCTTTAGAAGAACTACATGAGTTTCTCGTTGCAAATAATATTGGAAATCCAAACGCTAATAATTCTATTCTTAATAAATTTACTAAAGCTGCATTTATGGACCAGGTTTGAAAAATTTTTTTAAATAATCTCTGTTGTTTAATCACTTTAACCATAAAATTATTCCATGTTTTAGTTGCATGAAAAAACTGATATTGTGTTTGGAGAAGAAATTTGTCTATAAATTTTCAATGCAGCTATGGTATGACGTTAAAAAAAGAATTGAATAAGCAAAGCATTATATTACTTAAATTATTAAATATTACTATAGCTGATGTCTTAGCAAAATCTAGTATACCGAACATACGTACAGACAATGAGAGAGAAAGACAGAGCAAATTCAGTTGTCATACATATTATGAATATGGAACCTAATACATCCAGGTGAAGTAATCGGATAGTAAGATTTTAGAAGATCATATCTCTGATCTTTTATGATCTTGAGAGATCAGATGAAAATCATACTAAAACTATAATTAAAAAGTCTTTTGATAAATTATATTAAGCCCCCCCCCCCTTGCATCTTACGGAGTATGTTCATTTTCAAAAACGTCGATTTAAGCCCATAATAAAACTAATTACGTCAAATTACTCTATAACAAATAGCTCGATGCATCTTCATCTTCTTTTTAAAGGTGAAAATCGCAACTCTCCATAGTGGTTCTATTAAAATTTATTCAAAAAACACCCACTCGCCTTTTAGTTGGAAATGAGCAGTAGCTAAATGGGCAAGGTTTTAATGGAACTTTTAAGAAGATTGTTCAAAGTGAAATTTAATTTTTGACATTCTTATCGTACAAATACTAGACAAAAATAAAAAATATTTATTTGAAGAAAGAAAAAAACCAATTAAGATTCTTAAATCAAAAGATGATTACAGACACAAAATACAATTAATTTACAATTACTAACAAACAATTCTATACATGACATGTCAGTTCAATTTCAATAGTGATGTTTCTCATCTAAAGATAATATTATCTAATGACTCTGTTTAATTTTAACTAACAAATCATAATAAGAGCAATATTTTTTAGTTTTTGATTATTTTTCTCGAATAAAAACAATTGTTTATTAATTCATTTGATTACTATCTTTGACAAAAAAGAAATCTAATCATAGATCTTCATCTTCAGATAAATACTCAAAACTATCGAAATTTTCTCGATCAGATCTTTATGTTAAACGTTGAGGATCAATTAATAAATTAGTATCAATTATCGTTCTTTTATTCTTATGTTGTCGCTTTTTATCATTTGATTTTTATTCAATATCACTTGAATTTATATCTTGATCATCTATTTTACATATTGAAGAATTATTCATTGTTGTTAATGGTCATAGTTCTGATTCATTTGACTTTTTGCTAATTGAAGACACGTTTGTTTCTGTAGATTAACCCTAAAAAAAGAGAATTATATTAGCAGAAAATTTATTTTATTCATCCGAAATCTATTGATTACTCATCAAAAACTCTACAATTCAAAGACTACATTCTCAACTAGTTAATATACTATTTAAAGGTCATCTATCATCAAATGATTGTAATCGAAACTATTCCATGTCAAAATAAAATAAAAAGAATTCTTTGATTATTCAAAATAGCTTGTGTGCTGAAATGCTGCCTAGAAGCAGATCCAGTATCTTGATATTCTTCCAGGACCCCTCCTCCCTCAGACAAGATCAATTTTTGTGACTAATAACTTGTTGAATAGATCAAAATGTCTGATTTCGAATACACTCCAGTTGATTATATTTGCAATAAGCTTTAAGGAGATTGCATAAGTTTTTCTGAACCTTCATATTGAAAAAAAAAAGGTTTTCAAATTTTGACAAATAGGGCTAGATCGTTACACAGCTGAATTTTTGAATTTCTCTTTTGCTGAAATAAAAATCGTAGATCTTTCATTGTGATCAATGGTGTTTTTTTGGCCATGAATTCAACAATTTTTAAAAGAGAAAGAAAGGAAAATTTAAAAATCAGGCTCTGTTACAACCTAGCCTTAAAGACACTCTACAACCTAAAAACCATTCAAGTATGTTAACTAGCATATTTATTATGAAATCGTTGTCAGCATACAGAATACTTGTGACCAATAAATAGACTATAACTTGCAGATTTGAGGAAATATTTTACCCATAATCTATTCTAGCCAAGACTAACATTCTCTGAAATTTTAGTTGAATTTCATCGAAAAATAAAACTTCTTTTCTGACGGATCACCTTCATTGTATGATTGACGGTACTGTGGTATAAAAATTGTATGTTATGAATACCTATTGAATGTCAATTGATGTAAATGATGAATAGATAAATATACTTGATGATCATCAATATCAGAATCCGTATCTTGTTAATCAATCGATATATTATTTAATAAATAATTATTCGATTGTTGAAATTTGTCTTGTTTATATTTATCATCTTCACACATAAATTGTAATTTAATTCTGTCAGTCTGTAATGATTTAATGGCTGATATTATTAATTTTTTACGTAGGATTTCTCCTACAATAATACCTTTATTATTTTTTCTATTAGGATATCATTTATTAAAATTTATAAAATTAAAAAGAATTTCTAAATATAATAAAATAACCTTAATGGAAATGTTCATCGTTTATTAAAATTATGATTTTCCAATAGTTTAATTTATTTAATTGTTTGAATACAATGAGAAAACGCTTGATCAATTTGATTAATTAATTGTTTTGTATTATCATAAACAACACGTAAACAGGGATCATGAATAATATGTAATTCAATTAAATATCTTCGAAGAATAATTAGAATTTGAAAATTTTGAATTATATTTATTTAAATTATATTAGATATTTGTTGAGATAAGGAATCTTTTAATGATGCAACACATAATCTTATATATTCTTATCAATACATTTCTATACAAATGAATGATAAATTTGACAAGGAATAAATAAATCTTAAAAAAATATAAAATTAATTTTATTTTAGTTTCGAATTTCAACAAAATTGAAGGATAAATAATTTGATTAATAACAATATCAATAAATTGTAGACATTGTTCGAATATTTCGGAACGAATTTATTTTTCAAGTAAACATGATTGACTATGTCGTCGTTATGATTCACCACGACAATTATTTAAATCGATTTTCATCTGAAACAAAAATAAAAATTCTTGTTATTTTTGCTTGTTTTATTCTATTGTTACAGACGTACTTCATCGTTTTCTATATTTTATTTTTGATTGAAAATAAAAAGAAAAAAAAAAAAGATTTAAATAAATCATTCAGATGAGTTTGAAAACTCTTGAGGATTATTCTCGTTTGTTTGTTGTCGATCTAATCAAATTGAAGTTTAGATTTTTAAAAAGATACTCAAACAATGAATTTCTTTATTTTTCGACATATCTTGATAAACAATAGATAATATATTTGTAATCGATAAAACAATTTTTGAGTAATTTTCAACATCACCTAATTCCTATTTTCAAAAAACAAAACAAACTTTAAATGCATCAGTAAATTGTCTAATAAGTGTTATTCATGCTTGAGATCATGTATGATCAATATGTTTTTGTTTTTTATAACATTCAGAAACACTTTTAAAAGAAACAATAAATTTTAATAGAGATTTTACTTTTTTTTTTCAATAAAACTTTACTCATTATTAAGTCCATCTAGTACATGACGAGTTAATTTGTTCGGTTGATGTAAGTAATTCTTTGTTTTTCTTTTCTGAATAAAAAAATAATTTATCATATTAAAATAACCTTGTTTTTGAGGGTGTGGAGTGTGGTTTATTTCTATCCACTCACACTCTTCTTTTATAAAACCTGCAGATAATATTATTCTCGACTAGTAATAAGAAATAAACGATTGTTTAATTCTTCAAAATGAGCACTGAAACGTAATAACATCAATAAAAACCTTTAAAAAAAAAGTAAAAGATATATTATCTTATCTATGAGAATTCATTTTGACATTTCATGGTGAAATTTATTGATTTTGTTTTGATTGTTATTCCTTCGTATTGCAATAAAGAAACTTTTTTTCATTAATGTTTTACTATTTATCTTTTTCAAATAAATAGGTAGAAAAAAATAGCTCATCCAACAGCTCAAATACGACTTCATTCTATTTTACTCATAAGAGTGAATTCAGAAAAACTCCTGCAATATTAATTCACCATTAAATCATCAATATGAAATTTCAATACAATTTGTTTTCTTTAAACATAAAAGATAAATGATTTAAATAAATACTTACAATGTACCAGCAATTGTATGTAAGAGACATGCACTTAATATAAGACAAGTTAAGCTCCATATAGCCATACGTATTGATTTTCTTTGTGCACTACTTGTCATTGATAATTAAGTCCATTTATTAACTTTAGTTGAATAACGTGCATTGATTAAAACACGAAAAAATGTATATGACAGTATTTGAAGATATAATTGTTGTGTTGATGCAACAAATTCTAAAACCATTTTATTCATTAAATAATTCGATAAACCAATATATGTAAGTAATCATGGTAATGTTGATGATTGTTTAGTACGTGCATATAATTCTGCAAAAAGTTCAATAAGAGTATTATCTGATGATGATGTTATTGATGAACTATTAATCATTCTTTGTTCTTCATTAATATGTTCATTGTGTTCGGTGCAATAATGTATAAATACGTGCACATATTTCATATAAACGTCATATATCATTTTTAGAATGTTGACTAACTATTAAAAGTCTTTCAAGACTAATTTATATAATTTTTTGTGTTAAATTATCATTTTATATATCATTATTTAATTCTTGTATTATATAATTTATTTAATTCAACTTGATGACTTTCAAGTAAGTAATATATCAGATTTACAAAAATTATAACTTCTTAATAATATCATTAAATCATCACATAAATCATATAAATATGATTGATGGAAATCAATCATCAAGATATATAAATGAATTTATTAATTCATATTTTAATTAGATACCAAAATTATTTGAATATATTTGAAATTATTGATAAACACTAAATTTTTTGTTTGAAGAAATTAATAATTTACAATATAAATTTGCCTTTCACTTAACTTAAAATATACAAGTTCTACTTATCAATTATTAAAACATATATGAACTTATATTAACTGTTAATGGTAATGTATTACTAATTTGAATTGATATTAATATAGCATCATATGAAAGTGGTTCATAGGATAGTAAATCATATGTACCTAATCGTTCAATACTTAAAAAAAAAAACTATTTAAACTTTTATCTAATTTTGAATGTGTTGGCATATATTGACCACTTATAAAAAAAAACGAACAGATAAAATCTAATTGATTTTTGAATTTTTGTTACTATTGTCTTGCATTTGTTTCGTAAAAGTTTTTTTTTTCTTTTATTAAATTATTGGTTGTTTGTTCATTTTCATCATTAGATTAATTTGTGGTGGATTAACTGAACGCTAAAAATGAAATTTATATTTCTTGAAATTGTATTTTTTATAATCAACCAACTTCAAAATTGTCTTGATATAAATATAACTATACAATGTAAATCATGCTAATAAATATATGATACATATATTTAATTTTTCTTGTTAAATAATAAAAATAATAATTGATTTATTTATTTGATAGAGTTAAATCATGTTGTTGATCAAGATATTCAAATATTAATAATAGTATTATCGATAATATACAACATGATATTATATGATCTTTTTCACAACTAAGAAATGATTTTGTTTTTGAAATATATTTATATAAAGTATTTCTGATATAAATATTATAAAACGTAATAAATCATATATCATCTGTTGAAATTAACTACACAAAATCCTAGAAAAACAAAAAAAGAAAAGATTTATATTGTTTCTTGATTTCTCAAATCAATTTTCATTTACTGTAAAATTCATTTTAAAAATTTTATGCTATGAAAAAAAGCCAATGCGTTTTTGGAGTCCAGGTATTCTAATCGATAGAAAGTTTGTCGAAATTCTCGAATGCAATTTTATCGTTCGAGAAAATCGAAATGAATAGAAGATTAACATTACTATAGCATCCATAATCATCGATTGATGATATTTGTTTTGAAGAATATTTCATAAATTTGAAATTTCTGATTTCTAAAAATTATTTTCGATTGTAAATAAATAACATAATTAGGGGTGTCGATTTACATTTACGTTTCATTTAATTTACGCGTAAATTAAATGACAAGTAATTTATATTTATTATAAATATAAATTATTTTGTTGCAATATTTACATTTACAAATAAATGTAAATTGTCAAAATTTACATTTACGAATAAATGTAAATTGTTAAAATTTACATTTACGAATNGTAATATGGAAGATCGTTCGGATAAATAAAAACTTGGTATATTCACCTATAATTTAAAAAAATTTTATTGATAAAGTTAAATGAAATAGTAAAGATACACGAAAAAACTTTTGGTCAATGACTTTCAGGACACCCTGTATAACGAATAATTGACTATCTTGACTTTAATAAACGTTTTTTTTTTAGTAGTTTCAATCTATCGTTCTAGCTATTATTTCTCACAATATCCGATTAATTTTTTTATGTGGAACACGTTTAGGTTATATTTTAAGAATAAGCATCTATTCTGCTTTTTATTTTCTATTTTTATTTTTAACTGTAAGAAAAACAAAATTCTACATAACTCGTTTTAATCAAACTAAACGCCAAACGTAAACGATCTCAACAGTATCAAATTCGTGTCCAGTTACATAGAATAAATAAATAGTAATGATCAATAATAATCTGATAGAATTTGTTCGATTATTCCTAATCGATTAATCATAAGAAGAATATTGACGTATATTACTAATAAAGAGAATATAACCATATAGAATAAACGTTGTTAACTATTTAAAAAAAAAACTCCGATTAAAACATATTAAATGTAATTATAGAAGAATATTGACTATTTTATTTCATAGCTTCCAAATTGCGGACAAAAATGAAGCCAATTAACACATCAGTGTCCGCAATTTGGAAAAGAGAATTAATGTTCATCTCTTTTCTTTCTCGTTTCCAAACTGCGGACATTTTTTTCTTATCGAGTAATTAACAGTATTAATTAAGAAGAATATTTATTGAGAACAAAAATAAATAAATAACAAAAAAAATTATTCCTCGTCACTACTGTCTTTGGCATCTTTGATGACATGAATATAACGATGAGAAATTGATCGTAGTGTTTTTTGATATGCGTCAAAATCTTTATCTTGTATATATTTTTTTTTGCATACATAAGTTTATTATCATCTTGTATATATCTTCCTTTTCTTCGTCTTGTTGTTCGTTTTTGTGCTGGTTCCTGTTCATAACGACACATAACAGATTCTTCCGATGATCTAGCTTCATTAATCCATGTCCAAAGATCAGGATTTGTTCTAACTCTGGCATTCAACTGCCGATGATAACCTTCGAGATGATTATTTGTACGTGGTCTAACACCAATATTATCAAAGTGATTCCACATTTGAACAGAAAATCGAGCATCTTCTACATAATTTTTTATAACATAATCAGTTAATTTATCTAATTTTGAATCATAATTACATAGCTCGTCAATAATTTTTTCCATAGAATTATTAATTTCATTTGTAGGTATTAAAGGTAATGCAATAATGTTCGCTATCTGACGGCGAATGTTTTCTTCTTTGGATAATTTAACTAAATTGTATTTTTTTACTTTTTTCCATATATTTTGTGCAAAATGAAAATGGCATCCTTTCACTGATGCTTGTGGAAATATATCATTAATGGCATTAATCATACCTTGTTCGAAATCTATTAGAATTGATGATGGATTTAATATAATATTTTTTTTTGTTGCATATGTAAGTAATGATTTAAGTAATTCATGATAGCATTCTTCTGATTTATCTTGACAACATGAATAAACTATTGGTTTCATACTAAATTCATCCCATACATGTAAATAATATGATTGACTAAATAATGCAGATGATGTTCGGAATGTTCCATCACCATTCCAGTGTGGATTGATACTTAATAATTTTAATGCTTGTTCTGAAGCAAAAGCGATAACTTTGTGTGGTTCCGGTGAATTACAAAATAAAAATTCTTGTTTATCATTATTGTAACACATATCTTCTGGAATTATGATTGATGATAACGATTTTGGTGTTGGAGGTAATATTGTTTTACGCACAGAGTACAACGTTGATTTCCACGCGTCAAAGACTGGAACTGGACCAGCTTACCGTTTTCACGACGCTAAATAGGGCAACTGTAATCGTTTATCTGAGATGAGAATAGAGGACCAAGCACTTACAAATCTTTTCACTTCGTCTTCATAAAGTTTTGTAACAGGTTCATCTACATCAGTTAATATTCGACGTTTTAATCCACAAAGCATAGTGCGAACATTTTCAGGCAATTTTGGATCATGGTTATGATTTTTACCATTTGTCTTTATAATTGCATCATTTTTTAAAGTAATGGTACGAAAACACCATTTGAAAGTACAAATAAAGATTAATGAGCCATTCTGATTTTCACGTTTTAATCGATAAAGGTTACCATTATATAGAATAGCCTTTTCACTTTTTTCGGTTGTTGACCAAACAAAGTTTGTATTCATTTTTTGATATGTAGTGTGATTCTTTTGTGCTCATGATACATATATATTATGTGCTCATCAAAGAACAGACTCATAATTTAATCTTTCAATAATTGATTAATGAAATCGAAATGTCCGCAATTTGGAAACGAGAAAAAAAAGAGATGAACACAAATTTTCTTTTCCAAATTGCGGACACTGATGTGTTAATTGGCTTAATTTTTGTCCGCAATTCGTACATAGCCGTTATTTATACAAATATAAAGTATAAATATTATAAATATAACTTTAGTAATTGATAATATCTTATGTGAATTTTTCATTAATTGAAAAAAATGTTTTTTTTTTCACATAAATTTTGTTGTATAAGACGGTACCTGCATCTTTTTGCTCAACTCTATCTGATAATCGAATAATGTTTGAATGTGTTTCGGTACGACAATTCATTTTTGTACAGTTTTTAAATTTTCTCTCTCTTTGAAGCCAACGAAGAATAGCTTCTCGTTCATATGTATGACAGCTGGTTTTTCGAATAGAAGTTGACAGAAATCTTGAAAAGTTTTTGGGAAAAATGAAGTAACAAGAAAAACGAATTATCGTTTATGAAAGAGCAGATGACGAGCTATCTTCTCATGTATTTATCTGAATTTCGAAATTTTTGACGAAAACTGACTTTTTTTTAGGGAGGTGGGCCTTAAATAAGTGAAAATGCCTTATTTCGAATAAAATACAGTTGATTATATTTTCGATAAACTTTAAAAAGTTTCGATAAATTTTTTTGAGTCTTGTTTTTCTTTTTTCGTCATGAATTCAACAATTTTTATAATACAAACGAAGGAGAATTAAAAAATTGATTCCTATTAAAGCCTAACCTTAAAGTCAATCGATAACCTAAAAACCATTCAAACATGTTAGCTAGTATCATTGATAATCTATTCTAGCTAAGATATTAATATTCTCTAAAATTTAAATTGAATTCTAATAAAAAATAAAAGTTCGTTTATGAGAAGATACTTTCATAAGACAAATCTTAACTGTATTTTTGGTCAAAAAACTAATTTGATATTGAGTTGTCTCGTACGATTGATTGAATTCTTTATAGATATAACCCAAAATGTCAGAATGAGTATATTGTTGATTAATCAATTTATTATTTAATAAATAATTATTCGATTGTTGAAATTTATCTTATTTATATTTATAACCTTCACAAATAAATTTTAATTTAATTCATTCAGTTTCTAATGATTTAATTGATGATATTATCGTTTTTTTTAAGTAAAATTTCTCTTACAATAAAACGATCTTAATTAAAATGTTCATTGGTTATTAAAATTAAAATTATTTAATGATTTAATTGTTTAATATTATTATAAACGGAAGATAAATATGAATGATAAGAATAGTATAGATTTCAATTAAATATATTCAAAGAATAATTAAAATAATTAATAGAAAATTAAATTTATTTTAGTTTTGAATTTCAACAAAATTGAACGATTTATAATTTAATTTAAAAAAATCAATAAATTATATAGATCTTTCGAATATTTTGAAAGGAATTTGTTTTTTTTAAGTAAACGTTTTTGACCATATCGTCGTTGCGATTGATCTAGACCATTAGTTAGATAGATTTCTATTTGACATAATAATAGAAATTCATCTTATTTTTGTTTGTTGAATTCTATTATTACAAATTTAGATGATTTTGAAAACTCTTGAAGATTATTCTCATTTATTTGTTGTTTATCTAATCAAAGTGATTTGAAATACATTCATATTGATGAACAATATATTTTTAATCGATAAAACATGTTTGAATAATTTTTAACATCATCTAATTCCTATTTTCAAAAAAAATTAAACTTTAATGGCATAAACAAATATTTTGATACAGAGGGGGCGGAATGTGTTGGAATGAGGTGAGGCTCAAAAATTACTTTTTATGTGCTATTATGAGACAATATGAACGAATTTTAGGTGATAATCCGCTTCAGACTATTTAAATTTTTCCTGTTGGAAGATTAATGTGCTAACTTATTTCGTCCTTGACTAAGAGAATTTCTATAGAAGGAGAAAAATTTCTGAAGAATTTCACACTAGAGTGGTAAACCAAAAAACATGTCTTTTTTCATTTGATGATTCACCATATTATGAAAAATTTCAGGTGGATTTTCATATTCATCGTAATTTCCCAGTAAACTATTCGTATTAGACAACTTTAATGAATTCACAAGAGTAGTACTTTGAGCTATAAACGATTCTTCAAGAACTTGTTGAAAGATTAATTGAACCAATTAAAAAAATACAGATGTTGTTTTACTTTTTATTTTTTTCAGTAAAATTTTCCAAAATTGATCCAGCACGTCGTTTTGGCGCCATTACTGTTTATAATTCAAGTTATTAATTTTATAACCACGATCAAAAACAAAAATACGTAGCGATTAAATCATAACACCAAGGTATTCAAAAAAAAAATATGAAAGATAGATATTCAGACAAGTATCCAAATAGACTCTTTTCACATTTTAAACGATTACTATGCATGAATTTCACTGAATCCATTAAAGAGAATACGAATAGTTTACTGGGAAATTACGATGAATATGAAAATCCACCTGAAATTTTTCATAATANAACGAAGACACTCAAATATAGATAACTCAGTTTAAAGCCCTTTAATCGCACAATTCCACAATTCATCTAGTATACACCACTTTAAGTCAATGAAGTAAAATATGTCCCTATGAACCATAAGAATATAGTTAGTACGTTTATTATTATATGAATTTCGTACTGTTATTTATCAGAACATACAAATAAGTGTATTAGAAGTTACAATATTCGTACTGAAATAATATTCATTTGATAAAATAAATCTAAACCATTGTTCAAAAAAATATCGAACTCATCATTTTGGTGAGGTTGAGCCCCCAGACGCCAAATTCGGGTGAGGCTCATTAACAAGTTAATTGTTTGATTCATGGAAGTAATTCTTTCTTTTTCTTTTCTCAATAAAAAAAACCCGCAGCATAATAGAACAAAATAATTTATCATATTAAAATAACTTTATTTTATAATAGCTGCAGATAATATTCTCCAGTAGAAATAACAAATAAACAATTGTTTAATAATTCAAAATGACTACTAAAACATAATAAAAAATCAATAGAAATCTTTAAAAAAGTAAAATATATATTTTTTTTATCTATGAAAATTCATTTTGACATTTCATGACGAAATTTATTGATTTTGTTTTTATCGTTATTCCTTCAAATTACGATAAAGAAGCTTTTTTTCATTAATGCTTTACTATTTATCTTTTCTAAATAAATATAACTTTACTCGATTTTACTCGTAAGAATAAATTCAGAAAAACTAGTGCAATATTAATTTACTAGTTTTTTTTCTTTAAAGATAAACAATAAATGATTGAAGTTAATACTTATAACATATATAAATAATTCTATGTGATGAATATACACTTACCATAGGACAATTTAACCGTTAGATGAATAAGATAGATTAATTAAAGTACGAAAAACTGTATATTTGAGTATAGAATTATTATGTTGATGTAGAAAATTCTAAAATATTTTTATTCATTTTATTAAATGATCCGATAAATCAATATTTACAAGTAGTTGTGTTAATGTTTATGATTATTTAGTATACGTAGATAGAATTTTGCAACCAGTTAAATAATAATATTATCTGATAATTATCAATTATTGATTGTTCATTATTTAATCAATTTTTATTTTCATTGTATATCTGTTTCATATTAAATAACATATATTATTTTTAGGTTGTTAATCAATTATTGAATATCTTTTAAGATTAGTTTATATAATGTTTTGTGCTAAATTATTATTTAATTGTTCTATTATAGAATTTATTCAAAAATAAACTTAATAAAATTTATATGTGAAAATTATATTTAATTAAACATATATATAATTGATTATATTCGTTTTTTTTATGTATCTAATTAATATAAAAGATATTCATACATTAAAATTTATTAATCAATATTATTAATTGAATAGAAAATTATTTAAATTTAGTTGTTAATTAATTGAATATATACAGGGGTGTCTCAAAAGTAACGAGGCACAGAAAAAAATCGAAAATTCCAATTGTGGCTTGAGCAAATGAGCTATTTCTTTTATCAATGATAAAAGCATGTTCAATCTTTATATCTACAAAGACATGCCTAACAAGACCCATCAACTCATTAGCTCAAGTTGTAATGGAAATATTCAATTCTGTTTTCGATAAAGTAACTTTCGCATCGTCCCTTATATTATTGTATTTCCTATCTGCGAAAAAGTAAATTTTTTCTGTTCAGATCGATAGTAATACGTAACAAAGAGTTTCTTTAGACATATCTTTATGGATATAAAGCTTGAACATGCTTCTATCATTGATAAAAAAATTAGCTCATTTGCTCAAGTCGCAATGGAGATATTCGATTTTTTCTGTGTCTCGTTACTTTTGGGACACCCTGTATTGTTTAATTAAGATTTATAATTAATATATTAAATAAAGATTACGAAAAAAAAATTTTTAAATATATTTTTTTGTTAAAGATAAATACGATTAAAATAAATGTTGATATTTTAAGTTTCTTCATAATAGAAAATATTTCTCATATTTAATAATTTATTAATAAAATAGAAGAAATAATCAGAATATATTTCAAATATTTAATAATCATTATGTTTTTATTGTAAAAAATTAATAATTTACTATTAAATTTTCGATTGTTTTAAGTTAAACTTCTCAATAGACTTAGGTTGAATATTCAATATTAAAGAAAAAAAAATCTAAGTTCTAATTCTCAATTGTTAAAACATATATTAACTTTGATTAACTGTTAATATTAATTTTAATTTCTATTAATATAGTATGATATGAAAGTTATGATAATAAAAACTGTGATAATTTTTATTCGAATATTTAATTCTCTTATTAAATTATTTGTTATTTGTTGATATTTTTATCATTATAATGATTCT